GAGAAACAAACAGGGTTCTAGAGGGGAGGGGTGAGGGGGGATTGGTTAGCCTGGTGATGGGTATTAAGGAGGGCATGTACTGCATGGAGCACTGGTTGTTATACGAAAACAATGGATTGTGGATCACTACAACAAAAACTAATGATGTATTGTATGGTGACTAACATAGCATAATAAAATTAAAAAAAAAAGTAATGAGAAGAAAATTTCAGAGCAGCGATAATGGTAGAACATGTTACATAGGGATTAAATAAGTAAATGCATGGAAAGTGTAAAATAAATAGTCACAAAATAAAAAAATAAAAAAAAAACTAATGATGTGTGGGGACTAACATAACATAATAAAATTAAAAAAAAAAAGAAAAAGAAAGAAATATAGCTTGAACTCAAGAGTTGCTGCAGGGACCTGGAGGCCTTGAGCTGTCCTGGATCTTTATCCTTCAGCTACCAGATGGTGGACAGGTCTCATGGTCCTGGGGGAGGGGCTGAGGTGACTGAGGGCACTTGGGTGGGGTTGGGGGTCAGGGCAGTGTCTATTTGCCAACTAGTTCAAACATATTTTGATAGTTACAGCCAGCAGGGCACACCAGTGCATCTAGCCCAATTCCAGCCATGCACAAACATACCTGCCCACAGGCCTCTGTCCAGGCGCCCGGCACCTTGTCATTCCCTCGGATCCAGTTATGAATGACTTCTGCTGGCTGCTCCCAGTTGATCTGTGGGGCAAGACACGTGTGCTCAGCCAGTCTCTTCCTTACTCCTTGGTCCCTGCCATTCCCCCACCTCCCCTCAACTCCCCACCTCCCAGCCACCTCCCACCCCACCTGTGCCCTGATGACCCTTGACTGGGTGGAGATAAACCTTAGGATGATAAGGGAAGACAACACTCTGTTAAGATGGCCAAAGTCTTACACAACCTCCCCAGTATAGAGTGCAGGCCCATGCCATAGGCACCCCGACAGCTTCTCCTCACCTGCAGGGCTCACATAGATCTCTATGCACCTCATAAGCCCTGAGCAGAGGTACAGCCCATAGGTCCCGCCCAGACCCCCAAGGCTGCAATAGCTCCAAGAAACTGAATTACCTCTCATACCCCATCTTAGAGACTTCCAGCCCTATGGCTGATTTTTTTACACACTGCCCCACCCCAGCTCTTCTCCTGGGGGACCCTGCCTGCCCATTCTTCCCTAAGGGAACAGAGAAGAACTCAGAACACACCATGCTCCCTGCCTGTCCAGGTGCCACATAAGTTTTGCTCATGCGTCTCCTGCCTGGGCTGCTCTCTCTTCAGGCCTTAAGCAATTACAACTTGGCCATTCAGCCTGAACCCCAGCTTCCCTGGGACACCCTCTGCATCCCAGCCCATGCACAGGCAAGCTTCAGGGTGAGCAGGGCCCTGCACTCACCTTGGCTGTTTCCTTCTTCTGAATGCCCTCATAGGTGGCTCCCTCCTCAGGCTGAGGGAGTCTGGGGGCTTTGCCCTCCGCAATCAGCCTCACAGCCTGCACCTGGGGAGACCAGGTGAGTTGGCATCCCCAGCATTACTACCCTCCCCTTACTCCCAGCCCCTGGGTTCACCATGAGCCTGGACTCAGCCCCACACCGACCAGACTTGCCTGGCCCCACACCTGGTACACAATGGGCACCCAAGGAATATCCATCATAGGAATGGGTACAGTTAGCCTGAATCTAACTCCAATCTGAACAATGAGTACAAAATCCTGCCTTCTCTACCACACACAGTTTTAGAGGATTATATAGAAGATCTTGTACCTTCTGAGATCTTAGAAGACTATATAAACTACAGAGCCCTGTAGAGGTATAACAAACACAAATTGCCATGTTTTTGTCTAAAACCTTCCCTATCTTTTAAGGACAATGGATCCTGAGCCCCATGATGTGTTTGGAAGTCTGAGATTAAGCAGGAAGCAGTTTCTCTGTTAAAGAAAGGGAAAGGTTGTGGAAGAAAGAATCAGGGAAGTGAGAAGGAGAGCCAGGGAGCCTGGGCCCATCCTGAAGGGGTCCTGGGGGGAGAGCCCCAGAGCCGCCCAAACCAAGAAGTGATGAGCATCAGAAATGTCTAAAGCAGGACTGCCCTGCAGAATGTTCTGTGGTGGTAGACATGTTCTATGTCAGAACTCTCCAATACAATGGCCATCGGCCATGCATAGTTCCTGTCTTGGGGACGTGAAAGGTAGCTAGTGGGACTGAGGAACTCAATTTTTAATTAAAATCCAATTTAATTAATTTAATAGCTGCATATCACTAGCAGCTGCCATATTGGACAGCGTAGCCCCAAAGGGTGTTTTTAGTGTTTCCTGTGGGATGTGCCCGATAACCCCCTTCTCTGTCTCTCATATCAAATCTCCAGCAAATCTACTCTGTTCACTACTTTTGTGAGTAGGGGGATTCCATGGGAGAGAATACAAGAGGCATCTTGTTTGACACAATGTGAAAAATAAAAGGTGGCTGGCAAGAAGCAGGAGCAGAAGGAAGGGGATGGCTGACATATGGGCAGTGGTGAACACTCTCAGTCATTGCAATGTTTATTGCTACCTCCAAACAGGGTCTGTTCTCCCCTTCGATATGGCCTCCTGTCTGCCTCCTGCCTCCTGCTGGTATCAATGGGAAGCTCCAGTGTGTCTGCCTTTGGCCAACCTTGGCTGGCCTCTTCTGGCTCCACCACCAGTAGCCCCACAGACACAGCAGTCCCTGGGAGGTGGGAGGTGAGGCCCCATGGGGCCTGCCTGCTGTGCCAACCACAACTGTGTCTGACTTCAGGCCTTTTTGTCTGTCTTGCTTTGATGACAGAAACCTCTCTCTGCAGACAACTCAGCCTGCATGACTACCAGTCGGCCTCTCTGATTTTTCATTCATGAATTCTGTGAGAAAAGGAGTTTTTCTTCCTTTGGAATCAAGAGGTATAAGCCTTGAGCCACCAGTGACTCCCTTTCCTCCCATTTGAGGGCAGCCCACCTGAAGATGAAGCTAATCAAACAGAAAAGTAGAATCAGTAGGAAGACAGAGATACAGAATCCTATGACATGGCTTATGCCTCTGGACTCAGCCATGCTTGACACCACCCTTGCCTTTTGTCTTCTATAGTAAATGGGCCAAAAATGTTCCCTTTTTGGATAAAGCTTTTTGAATAGGGTTCTGTCATTTGTAAGCAAGAGTCTCGCCTAACACCATACATTGTATGTCCTAATCCTGCCTCTTTGAGACCCTGACATGAGGGCTCTCTCCCTCCAGAATCCTGGAACTGGGGGAGCAGCCTGGGTGGGGGGGCAGGCTGGGCCTAGAAAGGGTACCAGCATAGGGAGGCCCACATGTGGCATGGCCAGCTCCCAGCCCTTACCATCCCTTTGATGCCTTCAGGGAAGAGGAAGCGGTTGTACAGAGTGCTCACGGTGTCGTCCGGGAGGATCTCACACTCCTTCTGGAGCAAAAGGTCCCCAGTGTCCAGACCATCATCTGCCCAGAAGATGGTAAACCCCCCTTTCTTGTCTCCATGAATGAGGGTCCTGGGGAGCACAAGTATGAAAGCCTGAGTCCAGGAGGAAGGACCAGGGAGAAGGGCAAACTGGGGGCAGCTCCTGTGGCCCCTGGTCACCCTCCAACAACCCCCTTCATGCCCCGCCCCTGAGAGGACCGATACCTGCTCTGGTGAGACCTGGAAAGAGAGGGTATTTACTGACACCAACCACATGCTAGGTGTTGTGGTAAAAGCCCTATATGCCTGATATGACATAATACCCCAACAGGTGTCACAGGCATTGTATGCCCCTTTTGCAGATAAGGAAACTGAGGCCCAGAGAAGTGAAAAGATGTAACCAGAGGTCAGGGAGCCTGAATCCCAGTCTGACTACAAACCCACTCTTTTCCCAGCTCAGATATCTCTCCTTGCTGATCACCCAACTAAACTGCACCACCCATCAGTCACATCATCCCGTTTATTGTCTCCTGAGTGCTTATCATGTCAAACTATCTTGTTTAGGTGCCCTTTTACTTCTTCTCTATCCCTTTCCAAGTGGGATGCTATCATGTACTGGCAATGGGTGTGGGTTAAAGCAGGCCTCTGGCCACACGGCCTGGGTTGGTCCCTTGGGTGAGCACCTTAACCCCCTCTGTCCCAGTGTCCCTGCTGCAGGATGGGAACACTGAAGTGCTCACTTCACAGTTTACTGGGGGAATGCAGAGCATTTGATGATGCCTGTCCCGGTTCTCTCCAGCACTCTTGATTACCCCTCACACCTCACCAGTCAGCTGTGTGGATGCCATCTGGCAGCGTAGGACAGGCCCCTGCATGATGCCTGCTCTGTGGCCCCAGAGGAAAGCTCTGGGCTAAGGGAGGATGACTTCTGGACAGATGGGGGTGTTTTTGCCCTGTCTCACCAGTTGATGGCCGAGGCCCCTCGGTGCCGGGGGAGCAGACTTGGGTGGTAGATGATGGAGCCGTGGCAGGGGGCACTGATGACCTCCATGGGGATGAATTGGCTGCAGAAGGGCAGGACGTTGAGCTCGGCACCCAAAGCCTGGTATTTCGCCACCACATCAGGCAGAGCCTGTCCTTTTACCCGCCAGCGGGGGAACTTGAACACTGGCACTCCATCCTTCTCAGCTTCCAGGCCTGTGGGACAGCAGGTGAGAAACTGGCCCCTCCCTGCATGCACCCAACCACAGCTACCGCTGCCTTCCCAGCAAAGTGACTCCTGCATCTTCTCTCCCAGTCTGTCCCGCCTGTCCTTCCCCACTGCACAGGCTCCACTGGGCAGTGCAGAAGGGACAGCACCAAGGGGATAGCACTGGCCAAAGGCAAGGTTTCAGGGGCTGCTCCGCACGGACGGACTGCTGCTGACCTCCAAGACATCTAAGTCCCCCTTGCCCAGACTCCTGTCTGGCCCCCAAAGACTGAGCTCTTCTCCTCAACCCCTCCCACAGCCTCGTCATGCTGTCCCCAAGTTAATATCCTCCACCCTTCTACTGCTCTCTGGGATGGCAGCTGGGACCCTGCAAACTACATTCCTGTTTCATCAGCTGCCTGCCAAGCACTGCTGATAAGGGGTGCTGGAGGGAGACTAAAAGGCTGAAGAGAAGAGGAAAGAAGGCAAGGGAGCAGGGACTCACTCCTTTCGGTCAGGTTCCTGTCCTGAGAGTCCCCCATCCCCCGCCTCACTTCTTCACCCTAGAGGCAGCATTGTCTTCCCAGAGTAGCAGCTGACTTAGTTTGCTGTTTTCCCAATATCTGCAGAATTAGCCCCAATGTACACCTTCCTCCCACTATGTCTGCCCTCCAAGGTCGGGGTCTCAGTTTGCAGGCACCCCACCCCACCTAGTTACCAGCACCTATGAGCAGCATGCTCAGTCCTCACAGGTCTGAATTAGAGCCTCAAGCTGCCAAGTTGTAAGAGTTAGAGCTTCCCTCTGTTGCCCCAGCCTGAGAGGCGGCAGCTGCCATCGGCAGTCACTACCCCGACAGCTTGGAGTTCTCTTTTGCCTGCCCTCTGCAGCACTTAACAAATACATCCCTGTACTGGGTTCTCTGTTAGAACAGCCAGTATGATGACTGGCCTCTGACTGGACCTGACCTGCTCTCTAGCCCTCTCTGCCTCTGCCCTGCATTCGGGGGTATTGAGGGAGGGTGGGATCAAAGCGAGCAGACTGGACACTATGCTTGAAAAAGCTGTCCATGCTGTGATCAAAGAAACACTTCCACAAGACATCCAAGGTCAGGGTCAAGTCCCAGCTAAGCTCTGTCTGGGTCTAAGCTCAGAGACTAGTATCAGTGGTCACTTAGTGGCTGAGGGCAGGGCTCAGGCTGTGGTGAGGTCAGGCTATATCATGGGTCACACTGGGGTCAAGTCTACGACTGAGGCCTGGTTAGCATTGCAGTGGTCCTGGAGCTGGGTCCAGGGGTCAGCTGTGCTTCTCAGTCTAGGGAGATTCATTATTCCTATGAACCATGCCCCTGTGCTTGGCCAGCCCCACAAGGCTCCTTTCTCAATCTGGCCTTCCATTTTAAGCCCTGCTTTATATTCTGCATCCATCTGGCCTGAGAAGGACTTGAGTGATCCTGGAGGTTCATTTGAGCTGAGGGTCCTTGCATCCTGAAGTGCTGCTGAGGCTCCCAGCCTAGAGGCCAGTGATTCTTAAACTGTGCTCTTCCTAGAGCCAGATGCATCAGCATCACCTGGGAACTTGTTAGAAATGCAAATTCTTAGACTCAATCCCATCCTTTTGAACAGAAACTCCCAGGGAAGGGCTCAGCACTTTGCATAACAGGCACTCCCACTGTTGGGGATACCCTGCACATTCACATTTGAGAACACTGACCTTCAGTGTCTCCCATCTAGCAGCCCTTTCAGAGCGTGGTGCTGGGGTCAGAGGAGCCTAGAATGGTCAGACAGCAGGGTCCTGGGGGCAGACTGGGCTTCTCCCTGGCCCTTCTCCAGGACACAAACTCCATCCTATGATCAGTTGGGGAAGGGGTCTCTATTTTGTTCTAGAAAAGCCGGGCAGCTGGTTGGCACCTGAGCAGGATTCAAGGTGAACCATGTAAGCCTGCCTCCAGCCAGGGATGTCCATGACCACCGCAAGACTTCTGCTCCCACCCATTGCCCACTGCTACCTGCCTGCCTGGGCACCCCCTTTCCCTGTTCCTGGGCCATCCACTCACCCAGGGGATCCGCCTTCCCATCCTTGTCTGGGACAGTGAACACGCCCACGACCTCATGGCCCTCCTTCCTGAGGTGGCAGTAAACTTCCTGGCCAAACAAGCTCTGCCCAATCACTGCGATCTTCATGACAGAAGGGATGGGTCAGAAGGATCTGGGGATGGAATAAGACCATAGTGTTAGACAGGGCTCACTGGCCTCAGGAAGCCGGCCCTAGTCCAAGTGGACAACTGCACAGCACCTTGCCCGCCCTGCCCACCTCAACCACTTGGGGTCACCTCTGGGGCTCCCTGAGCATCAGATCTCTGCAGAGAACCACTACTGTAAAAGGGCCAGAGGAGAAGGTTTTGCAAGGAAGGGATTTTAGATGCCACAGTGGGTGATTAGAATAGAGATTATAGAATTAGGGATTCCTCCTTGAAACCCTCCAAATTGGCATGGAACACTGAGAGTCAAGACCTCTGAGATGTATTTGAGCATATTTCTGTAACTAACCAGTTCTGCGACCTGGTTACATCAAGCCTCAGTTTTCTCAGATGCTATGTTCCTCAAACAGCTTTCAGCCTGCACATCAGGCTTATTTCCCTGAGCCAGAAAGCAGCAAGGGAGCCTGGACCTAAGGGCCTGTTTATCTCAGCCTCACAGAAAAGAATGCCTGGGTGGATGGGCCCTGAGGACTGAAGGTGGGGCCAGGGGGAATGAAATGGGGTGCCACTGGGCTGGCCAAGTAGAGGGAAGATATGTGAAATAATGAGTAGTTACGTCATGCAAATGTCTCCAAAGTTTGGTCACTCAATTACCATGCTCATATCTATAACACCAATTGTTCACTTGATACATTTCTTTAAATCATCCACTTGTAAAAATATACATGTCTTTTGGAAAATTTTATTGTAGTATTAGCATGCTTCATACATACAGAAAAGTGCAAAATTATAGGTATATACTTCAATGAATTTCACAAACTAAGCACACCCCAGTAATCGGCACTCAGAGAAAGAAATACTCCAGCAGTCCACATATATGTATGTTTGTATTTATATAAATAGAATCATGCAGTGTAATGTTCTGTGGATTTTTTTCCACTCAACATTATCCACATTGTTGCATGTAGTTGTACTGTGTTCATTCTCATTGCTGCATGGTATTTCACTGTGTGAATGCAAATAAATACATTTATTCATCCATTCTACTGTTGATGGGCATTTGGGTAGTTTCCAGTTTGAGGCTATTACGATAGGGATGCTATCAAGATTCTCAGGCACACGATTCTTTCTGTATATAGATATGCATTTCCGTTGGGCAAATTCCATTCCTAGGAGTGGAATTTTGGGGTCAGAGACATGAAAATGTTCAGCTTTAACAGATTCTGTCCATTTTCCAAAGTGGTTGTACCCATTTCCAAGCCCATGTACTTGGCATAGAGGCCTTGTGTCTTTTTCTTTTCAGCTATTTTGTTAACGTGAAATATAGCCATGTCATTGGGGTTTAATTTGCAATTCCTTGATGACTATTGAGGTTGAGCACCTTTTTCTATGTTTATTGGCCACTTGAACATCTGTTTATGGGAACTGCCTCTTTAAGCTTTTTGTCTTTTTTTATTAGGTGGTCTTTTCCTTACTGATTTGCAAGAGGGTTTTTTTTTGTTTGTTTTATTTTGTTTTTTAATAATCTAGACTATCAATCCTTTGTCACATATATTTATGAAACATAACTTCAATTCTGTGGCTTGATTTTTCACTGTCTTATGGTGTTTTTTAACGAACCCAAGTTCTTAAACTTAACACAGTATACTCATCAAAATTTCCCTTTATGGTTAGTGGGTTTTGTAATCTATTTAAGAAATTGTTGCTTATGCCAGTTCATGAAGATGTCCTCTCTGTGTCCTAAAGTCTTTATTGTTGGACAAAGGAGCAAACTCAATAAAATAGAGCAAAAATAGTTTTTCAACAAATGGCTCTGGAACAACTGAACATCCACATGCAAAAATGTGAATCTAGACACAGATATTACACCCTTTACAGAAATTTTCTCAAAATACATCACAGACTTAAATGTAAAATGCAAGATTATAACTCCTAGAAGATAACACAGGAGAAAATTTAATGACCTTGTGTATGCAGTGACTTTTTAGATACAACATCAAAGTACAATTTATGAAAGAAAAATTGATAAGCTGGACTTCATTAAGATTAAAAGCTTCCATTCTGCAAGAGAGAATGAGGAGGCAAGCTCACAGACTGGGAGAAAACATTTGCAAAAGACACACTGATAAAGGACTGTTATGCAAAATATACAAAAAAAAACTCTGAAGACTCAACAATTACAAAACAAAAAAACCTGAATAAAATATAGGCTGAATTCCTAAACAGACATGTCAGCAAACAAGATATACAGATGACAAATAAGTATATGAAAAGATGCTCCACATCATAGGTAATCAAGGAAATGCAACTTAAAAGAACAAAGGGATACCACTACTACACACCTATTAGAATGACCAAAATCTGGAACACTGACAATATGAAGTGCTGGTGAGAATGTAGAGCAACAGGAACTCTCATACACTGTTGATGGTAATGCAAAATGACATGGTCACTTTGGAAGGCATTTTGGCAGTTTCTTACAAAAGGAAACATATTGTTACCATACGATCCAACAATCACACTCTTTGGTATTTACTCAAAGGAGTTGAAAACTTACATGCACACAAAGACCTGCACATGGCTGTTTATAGCACCTTTATTCATAATTACCAAAACCTGGAAGCAACCAAGGTGTCTTCCAATAGGTGAATGGATTGATAAACTGTGGTACATTCAGACAATAGCACTGAAAATAAATGGCTATCGAGCCATAAAAAGACATGTAGGAAACTTAAATACATATTACTAAGTGAAAGAAGTCAATCTTCTAAGGCTACATAATGTATGACTCCAATTATATGACGTTCTGGAAAAGGCAAACTATGGAGACAGTAAAAAATCAGAGGCTACTAAGGGTGGGAGAAGAAAGAGATGAATAGGTGGAGCACAGGATTTTTAGGCAATGAAAGCACTCTGTGTGATACCATAATGATGGATACATATCATTATGCTTTTGTCCAAACCCTTAATATAAGGTACAACACCAAGAGTAAACCCTAATGTAAACTATGGACTCTGGGTGATGCTGTATTGGTGTAGGTTCATCAGTCATTACAAATCTATCACTCTGGTGGAGGAAGTTGATAACAGAGGATGTTTTGTGTGGCAAGAGGCACTGGGTATATAAGAAATCTCTGTACCTGCCCCTTAATTTTGCTGTGAACTTAAAACTACTCTAAAAAATAAATTCTTAATTTTAAAAGAGATATTAGGAAAAAACTTCATTGTTTTGCTTTTTTATATTTTATTGCATGCAATCCTTCTGGAATTGACTTTTGTGTATGACATAGAAGTCCAGAGATATTTTTCCAGTACCATATATGGGTAAATCTGTCTCTGGACTTGTATTCTGTTCCATTGTCAGTTTGTTTATCTTTGAGTTCATTATAGCTTAAAAATTTTGTTGGAAAAACAAATATTGTGAACATGTCAATGCTACCTAGAGCAATCTACACATTCAATGCAATCCCTATCAAAATATCATCAACTTTTTTCAAAGAAATGGAACAAATAGGAATTTCAAGGAGGGGGAAAGTTGGCGGAGGAGTAGGGGACCCTATTTCAAATGGTCCCCAGAATTGAGCTGGATATCTACCAGACCACTCTGAGCACCCACGAAACCAGCCTGAGATGTAAGAAGATCTGGATCTCTACAAACAGAATATCGCAGGCAGTTGGTTTTGAGGTATGAAGCGGAGAGCCGTGATTCTGCGGGCAGATAGCGGAAGATAAACGGAGGCGGGAGGGTGCCTAGACGTAGGGATCCTACATCACCGGTGAGTGACAGCCTCACGTGCTGCGGATGGCGCACAGACTCGCAGACCAGTAGTGTCGGGAAAGGACTTTAGGGCAGCCCCCGGGGTGGAAAACCAGACCGGTGGGGTTGCGCGCACGTGAACCACAGGCCTCCCGGACAGAAACCGGAGCGACGGTCACACGCACGCGAACTGCAGCCTCGGAGACGGAAACCCAGTGCGCCAGGGTCGCGCCGGTGAACTGCAACCCGTGGGGGTGGAAACCCCAAGCGGTGGAGTCGCGTGCGCACGCGCGCGCGCAAATTGGAAGCAGCTGGCGGTTTTAGAAGCACAAAGGGCAGAGACGTGCCCCGACCTGGAGACAGGACTGGGAGCACTGCGAAGGGGCGCACAACCCAGGCCGCTGCAGTTTATAGCATCAGGGACAGAAACAGAGACAGTGTGGCCTGGAGAGCTCACTGAAGAACAGACTGAGGTCTCTCTGCTCTGAGACAGAGGGTTGGAAATGGTCTCTTCTGCTCTGACTCGC